AAATCGTATACAATAATTTGTCATTTTCTTTTTAAATTTGTCGGTATGATATCACTGGATAGAAATTATTACCAAGAAGTAATAAATTTATTATTTATTTCGCCTGGTTTATATTTAAAACTGAGACAATACTGCAATTCTGGGACAAGAAATCGTCGAGGTGCGTCATTCCAACACAAGAGGTTAAAAAAAGTGAGAAAGACACAACGGAATACGCAAGAAATCGTTTAAATCTTTGAAAATACACTGTCTCTGTCACATTAATTATGAGACAATTATAATTGTTTTGACTAGCTTGGTAGTTCTAGCGTCATAACTCTTCGTACTCCGAGTTATTTCTCAATTTTTTTTCTTCTTTTTTTTTTGGCAATTTAAAGATGTCGACTGTAACTGAGTTCCTGTGACGTCGAGTCACACTCAACAAAAGAGTGCAAAGAGTTTTGACTAGCTTTTTAATATCGTCGAGTCTTCCGTAACAAGCAAAGCATGTAAGAAAATTTAGAAAACGGTGGCTCTGAAAACGAGACGAACGAAAGGATCAAAGAAACTCGAAGCAAGAAACCGAGAACCAATCATTTTCCACGTGTAGCCACGTGAAGGTCACTCGGAATCGAGCGGAATACGAGGTGTCCGTCGTAGCGAGACGAGCGCGAGGTGGAAAGAAGCTCCAAAGCCTAAGGAAGAGGGCGAGGAGAAAGTGGCCGCACGGTTAGAATAGTTAAAAATAACCTGACCAAGGGTCCTGCGCCGAGCTTCGGTTCCTGTAAACATGTCCATGAAGAGAAACACGGGAAAAGGAGCAACGCGAGTGACTCGCGTGTAGCCTCCGACAAAAAGAGACGAACCGACCACAAGTCGGAACTGCCTCTGGTGGTCGGAACGAAGAGGGAATCGCTGGTGCAGGGAAGCAAAGAAAAGAAGAGAAAAAGAAGAAGAGTAGATTTTGCGGTACTCACGTGCTTCCATAGAGGTATCTTGACTCGGCGGTGGTAACTGCGTGGTCGTCGGCAACGTCGTGCTCGTGGTCCTTGCCGTGGTCGACGTAGACGATGAACCTTTGGCCTGCGTTACCGTAACCTTGACCTGTTCTTCGCCGGTGTCGGTCTCCTCGTCCTCGCTGGCCGCCTCCCCCGGGCTCGGGCGTTTCCTTACGTTTACAACTCCCGGCTCCTCATCATCCGGATACGACCACGCTGACATCGGCCTGGCGACTGTTGTGGTCCACTCGACGACACCACTACCACCACCACCACCACCACCACTTTTGATCTCACCACTATTACTCGCGTTCCCCGCGAACGCGAACCTGCCCCTCTCGTCTCTTCCAGGCGAGATATCTACCTCCCGTCTACTCTCCTCGTCTTTAGCTTTCCTATTATTGCGTCTAACCGCGGTGACTTTACCCGAATTCACACTGCCGTCGTCCGCTAACCTAGGCACAGTTCGATGAACCGAACGAAACGGTGTGTATGTCCAAGGTACCGTAGTCGCCGTCTTTGTTGTTCTTCCTACTATAGTCGTCGTCGTCGTCGTCGTCGTCGTCGT